TATAATGATGCAAAACACGTTTTATTCATGTCCGAACGCAATAAGTCTTGGCGAATAACTTTGATGTTTAGGAAATTGATATTTAAAAATTTACAAGCAGAATGTTTTGCAATGTATAAAAATGTTTCTGTATCCATTTATATCTTTTTGCATACATTTGTGTATAAGAAATATCGCAATGCCTGATATATACGCAATTAAATATCTAGCATATGAAATCTGAAAACTGTTATCTATTATTACCGTCCTTGTTGCTTTCCTCTCCAACAATCTCAGATAAAAATTCAGTTTCATTAATCTTATCGCTGTCTATCTGAAATGTTAGTTCGGTCATATCTACTATATCGTTTTGGCCACATTCAACATGGACGTTTGACAAAGATGTCGATGGGTTTTTAAGACCAAAGTCAATAGCTTTATATCCGAATCCATATCCAATAGAGCCTGTGTGCAAAGGAAGTTTTTTGCAATTTGGGTCAGATTGCGAACAGACAATTTTGAATGTCGCAAACAAACAACAATCACTATATTTTATATCCGGAGCTGACACATATATTTGAAAAATATATTCTGCTGACACAGGAAATCGGATATTAAAGGTGAATGTGTCGATACCTGGAGCATAAACAACCAACAAAGGTAAATCTCGTGCATCGATCTCTTCTAAATTGACAGTATCTTTCCTGACAGACAGTTTGTACGTCATTGACATGTATCTTGTATCAACTTTATTTGCTCCAAAAGAAATGGTACATTTACCATTTTTGGAATGCAAAAGTCCAGCGTGTTCACTTAGCAAATGAAGTTTCGCTGTGAAAAAGGAAGATCGAAAGAGCGGTAATGAAAAGAACTCTGCTTTGCTTATGCGTTTGGCGATTGGCAGAAGCTGCCATTCGGGATCATCTGGGAATGAAAAGAAAATATACATACTCGGATTCGGACAAAAATAAAAGTCCTTAATATAAATTACACATTTTCCTGCTGATTCCTCTGTTTCCTTGAGAAGCGTTTCACCTTCACTTTCTAAAAGTATTTCACCTCCTCTTGAATGTCCTAACATGGAATATATGCCTGTTACAACATTAATAATGTGCCAGCGGTCGTTTGACTTGAATGTGATCCAACATACATTCGATATACTTTTGTTCCTTTGATCATCACCTGGTAAATAACTCAAGTTTTTTGATATGCCTTCCACCACTTGGTGCTGAATATTGGCTGACCTTAAACGATACATAAAGGTCATAACTTTTAAAGTATTTCTACTACTACTACTACTACTACTACTACTACTACTACTACTACTACTACTACTACTACTACTACAACTACTACTACTACTACTACTACTACTACTACTACTACAACCACTACCACTACCACTACCACTACCACTACCACTACCACTACTACTACTACTACTACTACTACTACTACTACTACTACTTCTTCTTCTTCTTCTTTTGCAACTTATACTACTTCCACTATTTCTTCCTTTGTGACTTACGTAATGTACTAATAATACTTCTAATATTAATACTAATTCTACTTATACTTCTACAATTATTACTTATTCTAGTACTATTTCTACTGCCATTGATATTGCTACTTCTACTCCTGCTACTGCTATTGCTATTGCTATTGTAACTGCTACTACTATTTCTTCTAATGCTAATGCGACAATCTATTTTTACTACTACTTCCAAAAAAATCGCAAAACATTTGCAAGGCTGAGAAAGCTGAATGTCGGTAGTTTACTTTAATATCTTTACTTATTTTTAACATAAGAATACCCTAATCATGATTCTAAATGAAAATGTATTCTGAAGAAAACGTGTTCTGTCGTTAACGTATTCTATTGTTATTATGTTTTCTGATTTATTTATCATACAGTCGGTGTCGCGTTTATTTCTAGTTCTTCTTGTGATGCTATTAGTATTTACTGCATCTCATTGCTTTCACACTATCATATTCATTGTTATAACTCTGTTTCTCCTCTTCCATTCCAACGTTTTTTTTTTTTTTTTTTTTGTTTTCTTTTTTGTTTTTTTTTTGTTTTCTTTCTGAAATATTGTTTCAATTAATTCATCAGTTTAGCATACATTTCATGTTTGAGCTTTTGGAACTACATGTACTTACTTGCACAGCGCAGCAAACGCATACACTGATCTTTTATGAAGAATGCTAATAATGTCATCAGGAAGACCCTGTACTAGATTGGTTCTCATATTCGCCAACCATATGAAGAATGCACGCGCAAGGAATATTTCACGATTCCCATCTTCGAAAATTGGTCCTTTAAAGTATTCAATAAGTGAGGCAACTGACGTCATATGGCAACTTTGAACCTTATCGACAAATGTAAATAATATAAGTATACTATTGAAGCAACTGTAAAATATGAAATTGAAGATCATATTCAAGTCCATAAAAAGTAATTCAAGGAGCAACATCTTTCATGACCCCAATTATGGTAATATTCAATTCTCAAGACAATAAGCTTTTAAATTATTGCATGTATCAGAAAAATATATTAGATGAAAAAGGGGGCGATTTTTTAAAGTTCTCATACAACACGTTATAACATTTAATGAGTACAAAAATGTTCAACGGGGAAAAGTCCCTCGAATACAATTGCTATCAAACAAAACAAAATTTGTCTGTATACATGTACTGCTGGTTCAGGTAATCTTTTAGGATACAACGGTACGCCAAAATTAAAAGATTTTAAGAAATAAAAATAAAAGCATTTTAAGGTATATGATCGCTCTGGGCGTTCTTTGAGGATTTCCTTTATCTCTATTTTTTTGCACTTTCATGTAAATATTAAATAATAGTTGAAATACAAAAAAAAAAGATTATCAAAAGCATAAGGTCGAACCTCGGGCGATATATTTAGTTAAATTTCTTTTACCAGCTGGGGTTCACTTGAAACATTTGCCACCAAAGAACGCTCTTTGTATTTAGAATCGAATTTATAAACGTTTAATACTCATTCCTTGTTAAATTAGATTTCAGTTTGTACTTGACTGAATATAGATTTAAACTCAAATTACCTTGGAAACGTAAGCATCGTAGGTATGAAAATCTACTTTGTCTTCATCATAAGTATGTATCTTCTCCATCTTTTAAAACAACGGACCAACATACACTGCAGTACTTGGATGCGCACAGCAAAATATCTTATAATCCGAATATTAAGACATTTATTATTAAAGAAAGTTTGTTTTTTTACCATAACATGATTAATTTGACATTTTATGCAATTACTACAATTTTAAATTTATTTGTTTAAAGAAAATTGTATTTTCTATACTTATATCACCCAAATGTTCATTTAACAACTTACTCAAAACGTTAGAAAATGCATTTTTAAGAAGCGAATATTTCTATAAGTGACCAGATCACAGTTTCGATGGTCCTTATGAATTATTTTAACTTTCATCACATTTGTTTATTCGCAAACCACAGATTGAATAGGATATCATTACATTCAATGTCATCATATATGTCACGTTTTAGTAACACTGAGTAGTTGTGTCGTTAAAGTATCAAACAAGATTTAAACCACGATAGATATCGCTAATAGATCTGTCCAAACGAATACCTGAATCTATTACAAGTCTTATATTTTTCTTTAATCATAAGAAGAGCTGAAAATTATCTTTGAACGTATTACATGGTTGCATTCTGTTAAATGCGCCATATCAACTGAAAAATTAGCTTTCAAAAGATTCATGTAAGATTTAAATGATTAATGAGTCATGTTATGGTTCCTGCATGTTAAGTAGAGTATATGTTTAGTGCCAATTTTAAAAGCGTGATACTGAATTCTGATAATGAATTAATGCATATATCAATTATAATAACAATCTCATTGGTTACCTGTATAATGCTTATTGGTATGTAAATAAGATTTTCTCTCTTGTTGTCAATATGTAAGAAGAGATATGATTTTCATTTTCAAATGAAATTTGGCTGAAATGTTTTAAAACATCCAATTATAACGGTTCTTAACACCATTTAGCTCCAAGTCGTAATTACTAATTACCAAGTTCGCTCCCTGGTTCAGAAAATTTCACAGTTTAAAGATTACATGAGGTTCCCATTTGAGATATATTAGAATAGAAACACTGAAACAGACCCCAAAAATAAATATTAGTCCTGAAGATTTTCATACGTACTTTTTCCTTATACGATTGGTTAAACAGTATCCAATTAAATGATATACAATATCCATTGCATATTAAGATTTTTTACCCAAGAATCATTAAAATTTTACGGAATAATTAGAAAGTGGTACATAAGTTGTTTTTCTGGCATTTAATGTCAGCCTTTTTTTACAAATTACTTTTTAAAACATTTTCCTGCAGCACGATTAAGGAAGTCGCCAACAGGATGAATCACGCAGAGAATTATTTTAACGTGAAAATTGGATATTGAATATATCTGAATTTATATTATTCGGTCTCCATTGAAAAATATGCGAAATCGTTCAGCTATTATACAAAAAATAGAAGATATTCAATCAATTCATTTTGAATGTATCATTTTATGTGTTTTGAATAACAGTTTGCAAATCATCGCGCTTTTGAAAATGAAACGTGATCAGACAGAATGAAACTTAAGAGTAATTGTTAATTCATTAATGAACAAACTAAAGCAAACGATGCAGAAAATATGCAAAAAAATATGCAAAAGCATTTTTCAGTCCATCATATGTGTTCATTTATATATAAACGATTTATATTAATCAAATTACGTCTAGCCTTTAATAGCAAGAAAGAAAAGTACAGAGAATATCGTAAGAGGTAATTTTCTTGCGAAGTGTGATAATAACTAGGAAGTTGGATGTTTCATATAAATTGCTCAACTTCTTTTCACAATATTGGTTTCCAGTAGCAAGTATGACTAACCTATTTCAAAAATAATGATAAATCATTTGCAGTCATTCGGCTCTTTCTTCAAAGCTTCGGTTTTAGTAATCACATGCAACTTTTCAATATTTTAAGTCATAATTCGGTAGACGTTTTAAAACACAATAGTAACCAATGTGAATACAAACATCGGAAAGACATTGTGCATAGAAATATATTCTAGAAAAAAATGTTACCATAGAACGATAATCTAAATAACGTCAACATGTAGGATGTAAGCCAATTAGTATTGTACGTTTTGTACACTGTTTTAGTTTCTTCACTATTACACATACAAATAAGATGGAAATATTAACAATCAATTAAAACAGGTATGTTTTTATCTTGTTTAAAGGTATAAGGTTGACTAACTTCTATATATAGATCTGTGAATATATAGCCAGGAGTTTTCGGCATTTTCTGACCTCAAAGCAGCAGAAATCTTTGATATAAAGTTAGTGCGTTAAACTTATTACAAAATAAAAAATAATGGCACAGCACTTTCTTATACCTCTGTCATGATAATGGTAAGGGGGCATATAGTGTATCAGTCCGTCAGTCCGTGTGTGTGTACGTGCGTGTGTTCGATAATATTGTCCCGTCCATACTCTTATCAAGCATCAAGTAATTTTAAAATATTTTGGCACACATGTTAAGCATTTTGAAATGGTGTGTCATGCGCAAGACCAAGACCCCCTAGCTCCAAGGTCAAGGTCACATCTAGAGGTCAATGGTCAGCAGTTTGAAAATCTTGTCCGAGTCATACCTCTGTCATAAATCAAGGGATTTTGAAGAAAGTTGGCAAATGTTTTTCGTCCTTGTTATCTATTTTTTCCTTTACTTTGACAATAATAATAATTGTTACTTGTTGAACTTTTCTTTTTCCCAGTTTTATGCTCTAGTACATCAAATTGAGATATTTGTGCTCTGACATTCTAAAATTAAGGCTTTTCGAATAATGAAAAATCTGTTTTATCAACAGCCATCTGTCTTTTTAATTTAAAAGGTCTTTATTCGCAAAATAATTTTTATAAAATACCAACTATGTTGTCCTTCTTAACATCACTGTTCATCATATTCGGTGTTTTTCCATATATAGCAAGCTTTTATTCTGTTACCTTTGTGCACTGTTTCGGGTCGGGTTATTTTATAGTTGACAGGTTTTAATAATATGATAGTTCTATGATTATGTTATGTTGAAGTCATTTTTTAAATGCTAATAGATTAAAGCGAAGTGCACTTTGGTAGGGTTTAGAAAGATATTGGCAAAAACCTAGTTTCAACGAATGCAATATTTATCTTTTTGAACCTTAATTTTTTTTTACAATTTGGTACATTTAATCAAGAAGAATATTAAATATAGACTCTCTATATTTAAACATATGTATATTGCATGTACACGAAACTCGACTCTTGTTGATTAAACTTGATGTAGTGTTTCGTTTCTTTAAAAGCTTTATTGTTTATACCATATGATATATAATATCTAAGTCGATCAATGGTAACTTGCTATTGAAACAATACTACACTTAAACGACATTATAACGATCTCTGGTTGTGATTTGAACTTTCACAAAGAAAATAAATGAATAATAAATAGATAAATTTTCATTTGTTACCTTAATACAGATACTGGTTTACAATACTTCTAATAATCATTTTATCTTTATTATAATTCTATGATATAATTATACTCATTTCAGATATTTATAAAAAAGTATAATTTTACACATGTTATTAACGTTAAAGAAAAGTTAATAAGATTACATGACTACATTTCAAAACACAATAGAACATAAAAAACACACATGTTTTATGAGAAATGTTTTTATGTATAATTGAAAAAATCTTTTTCGTGTAATGTGAAAAGATTGTACTGTCAAAAACAGAGGATATATGTAATTTTACTATAGAGCATAAACAACTAGAACAAACATAGAAATCAGAAAGTTTTATCATAAAGTTTTATTTCAATCAGAACCATTAGGCTTGAAAGCCCATGAGGCATACATTTACAAAACTTTATAACGAACAGTTTATACATTTAACAATAATTTCATTATAACAATATACATTGTATATTACTTTGGAGAAGGTTTATTCAACCTTATTCACCCTTACCAGTTGTGACATATTTCGAACTAAATTTCAGGTTACCTCATTCCAGTTATAAAATCAACCTTTTAACGAAACGAAACATAAAGGTGACTGACTGGAGTGACCCTAATATTAAAATAAACAATATAACCAATGTACTATTCATGTGTGATAAGGCTATTGTGTATGAAAGACACCTTAACGCAATACAAATTAATATCCATTATATAAATACAGCACGATACAGTGATAATGCATTCTTTAAATTAAAACTTATACATAAGTAATTTTACTTAATAGATTTTATGCCCACATAAAATAATTTATGTCATTGTTCTGTCCCTATACTCATTACTGTACAGAATATTACGGGTTAGGTTTTTAGCCGTTACGGGGCAGGTTTTAGCCAAGTACGTCTTAACCAATCGATATCAAGACTTAAATCATGTGATGTTAATTAACCAATGATTACATTAGATCTATCACAAAGAAATAATTTTTGGCGAGGAATGATTCTCGCCTTTCTGTTTACTAAAATTTATCTATTTTTGAAGTCATAAGCTTTATTTAAAGTGAACTAATTACGTATTACTATGAACAGTTATCTTATTAATCTGCTGGGAGCAAATTTTAGGGACGGTGTCCCCCGTTTCATATTTCAATTTCGTGACGAAAATGGCAATTCATTTCACGGCAACACGGGCAGGATATCGTAACAGGATACAATTTATTATCAAATGAACATTTCTACATTCGTTATTAAATTTCACCTCATTTGAGACTCGGGAATTTAGACAGAACGATTGTAATCTACGATATGGATTTAATTTTCACAGACATATTTTTGTAGAAATGCAACTTTTTTGGGAGCAACTTTTTTTACGAGTCCTGAAAGTTACCATTGTTCAACAGTTCAAGTTTTGTACAGATGCCAAAACAAACATAAACGATCATACTTATGGCGAATAAATGGTTCATGGTTGACATGTCTAAACAACATTTACCTGTTTACACCAGATGGATGCCACCTGTTTACTCTGATCAGCTACGTCTCCTCAATGAGATAAGAACAGCCGCTTGGTCGCCGCCCCGAAGCATTTCATTTGTCAGAC